AGTTTAAGGCTTGTCGGTTTAGGGTTTAGGGGTTTAGGGTCTAGGGTTTAGAGTATAAGGCTTGTCGGTTTAGGGTTTAGAGGTTTAGGGCTTAGGGTTTAGAGTATAAGGCTTCGAATTACATGTAAGGCTTTGCGCTTACTCGGTAGCAGGTCCATGCTTCAGGCTTATGTCTGAAACGGTTTGGTTTACGGGCGTCGGGTTTAGGGTTTAGGGCTTAAGTCAACTGTTGAAACCATGGGCACCTAGTATGGGCCCTTAACCCTGGGATCCTCATATACCTACTGAATACTTCTAACCTTAGATTAAGTGCTTAAGGGTTGAAGGGTCTACGGGTTTGGGGGTTGAAGGAAGGTGAGCAGGATCCGGCGGCCGTCGTGATCGGACGGCTCCACAATAGGGCTCTGTCGGAAGTTTTGAGCTGCCCTGAGTCCGTAATAGGGGGTCCATAGGGCTGGCCACAGAGAAAACCAGAAGTCCAGGAGAATTTTGTGAATCTCTGCATCGGCGCTGGCGTTGAATGTCACATCATCCCCTGTCCATGAGAAACCCTAAACCCTCAACCGGAAACCCTACAGGCCTCAAGACACATTTCAGAATTACAGACTAAAGGGCCATCTGGATATGGGAGTTTCCGAAAATCGGGGACCCTAATATAGTACCCTAGAGAGTAGGATCCTTATTATAAGGACCCCAAACTAAGGCATACTAATTTTCGGAATTTCCCATATATGTCCCTATTTGGGTACCCTAAATTGTAGGTGCCCCAACCCAGGAGGATCCAAAAAGTAGATACCTTAATGGGGGTTCCTATAAAGTACCCTTAGTAGTGTAGGGCCCCAAATTAGGGGAGCTACTTTCTAGGTCCTCCCGGGGACCTGGGAATGACATGAAACAAGTCCGGGTGACCAATTCTGTACTCCAGGCCGATTGCCGCTGCCAGGTGCTGATCGATGCTACTGCCGGTTTTAGCAAGCAGAGATACTGAAGCGGAAGGGCTTTGTTTGCGCAGGGCCTTGTTCGCATGACAGTTGCTAGCCGCATTGTGGCATGAAAGTTATTAACTCCTGCACCCCACCCCTGAACCAAAAATACTCTTGAAAGCTTCCAAAACTAGCTTCAACGCAGGGCTCGTTAGGGCGGCCGTCACCTGTCACAACCCTAGAACACCCTACAAACTCTGTTGACACCTGAATCCACCACCTAGAATACAAATCCCTGTGAAATCCGTTGAGCCCCTATAAAAGTATATAGGCCAAGACACTCCTCCGGTGCGTGGGAGAATTCCAAAGGCCTCGTCTGGTGTTGTTCTTTGAAGCTTTAAGGTGTTGCTCTCTATACGTGGGTTTATAGGGTTGTCGAGGGGTCTTGCAAGGCTTTCAACGGGTTTAGAGCTTAGAGTTCGGGGCTTTGTGCTTCTACCGTCTTTACACTGGGGTTTAGCGATCGTGCACCTTTATCATTCTTACCTCACGAATCCCAAGCGCATTAGTGTGGGGGTTTCGCTGTTGGTGCAAGCAGCTAAGGCGAAGGATGCAAGGCCGAGGCTCAAATCTAGCACTTAGGGTTTAGGGTTCCCAAACACTAAACCCCAAACCCTCAGAATGCCCCTTATGCAGTAAACCCTTACGAGGAGCCACTCGAAGGGATCGAAGAAAGGAACCCTCAAAAAGATTCTTCAGCCCTGGGCCCCGAACTCGCGCCCTTCAAGTTCGACGTCGCAAAACATCCAAACACCTCTGCCCCACATAAAAAGACTTAAGGGTTCAGGGTCTAGTTGGCCGAGTAAGGGAACCCTAAACCCTAAACCCGCACATGCAGACTTTAAGTGTTCAGGGTTTAGGGCTTAGTTGGCCTTGTATAAAGGGCTCTGGAAGGGCCTCGTAACTGCTTTATTAATATGAAGGCGTTACTAGAAGACATGAGTTTTGACGGGTTTCTGGTTTAGGTAGTGTAAGGGCTGTATAAGGGCTTCATCAAGGCTTGGCTGTACTGCAGTCTTACACAGGGTTTGCTAAAAGTCGCGTAAGGGCGTAATAGGGGTTCTATAAGGTTGTGGAACCATTTAAGTCCTTTAAGCTGTCGGGTCTTCGGCCAGACTTGTGCTATTCGTCATAGCCCTCTTGAAGGTAGGAGTTGAAAGGTACTTAGGCCTTAGGCCACTGCTTCTTGGCAACCGACAACAGCAACAGGATACTTCCACATCTGAACCGGAAATCACACGAACAAAAAGGGAACAAGCCTTCACACACCTGCCAGCGCTTTATTACAACCCTCTGAGTGCTGTAAGCTCCGTATAAACCCTGTCAAGGCCCGGCACGGCCCTGTTCGGAGTGTTTGTTTGCATAAAATTTTGGGGTTTCCGAAAATTAGGGGTACCCTTATTTTGGGGTCCTTATCAACAGGATCCTACTATTTTAGGGTACTATATTAGGGTCCCCTATTTTCGGAAACTCCCATGTTCGGACCCACAGTCCCAGAACGACCGAGGACGGCGCAGCTGATCAGGACTCAGCCCCGCATCGGAGGCCTCCAGGGAGGTTCCAGCTCTTTGCTGCAACTCAAAGGGAAAAGGAGGGACCCTTAATGGGGACCCCTACCCTATAATGGGCGATATAATGGGAATTTAATGGGTATATTATGGGTATATACCTAGGGGTCCTTATTAGGGGTCCCTCCTTTTACCCTTTGAGCAACACTTTTCGGGTCTACCTGGACCCTAAAGAGCCTAGCTTTTTAGGGTTCCCTATCACGATTTCCTTATATGAGTCCTGAAAAAGGTAGGTTATTTGGGGTTAAAGTAGAGCATCTGGGGTTTAGAACCCTAAACCCCTGAACCCTAAAAGCTTAAAAGCTTAAACCATCAGGGGGCTTCAGAGCTAGTGCCCGGTTCGGGTTTACTGTGAGGTGTTTAAGGCTTCGGGAAGCTGAAGCGTGTGGCGTCCGAAATCTTGTAGAGAGCAGTTAGAGACTAAAAACAAAAACTACACCCCCAAACCCCTGATGCCCTTAAGCCCGAAACTTGGCCTTAAAGCCCTCTAGTATCTTCGGTTTAGGGTTTAGGGGTTTAGGGTCTTACCTACCGACCACTACGAGCTCTGGCCGTGAGACCGCAGGTGGCAGCTCAGACATGGTTCTGGTAATGTAGGAACCTGATTCAGAAACCTTGGGCATTAATTTGGGCTCCTTTAAGGGGGTCTATAAGGGTTACTATAAGGGGTCTATAAGGGTTACTATAAGGGTTACTATAAGGGGTCTATAAGGGTACTATAATAATGCAGGAACCAGATTCAGAAACCTTCGGCCTTTATTTGGGATCCTTGTATGAATCCTGCTCTTTTGGGGTTATAGGGTTCACAAAAAAACCCTAAACCCAAAACCCCAAACCTACACCCTAAACCATATTTGGGTTCCTACTATTTTGGGATTGAAGGCCCAGGTGACCAGCCATCGTCCACGGCAGCACCCGGGGAGAAAGGTGTGGAGATGGGCTCTGCGCGTGCCTTAAATTAAACCTTCAACCCTTACTTGGAGGATCATGGGACTTAGTAAGTAGGTTATAAGTGGGGTGAGAGGTCTCCTAAGTGGGTTATCCTAAGTATAACCTACTTATAACCTTACTTACTAAGTCAGTCCCATGAGCCTCCAAGTAAACCGTAAGAGAGATTTTGTTGAAGACTCCAGCCTGGTCCAGCGTAGGGCACAGGCTCTGCACTGCGGCTGTGACGTTGTCCCTCTTGTCTTTGGTAACTTTTCAATCAGATAAACAGATGCACACATGGGTGGTTGTCAAAATTATGATCCCTTTTTGGGTACCCTAAATATTGGGTGCCGTACTATAATAAGGACCCAAAAAGGGATCACAATTTGGACAACCACCAACATATTTGCAGGACACTCAAAGGCGAGACAAGCCAGCAGCAGCAAGGAGAGGTGGACCTCATCCTCATGGAAGCCGAAAGGGTGCCCACGTTGTCCAGAAGCCACACAGCATCCTTCTGATGCATCACGTCAGCATGGAGGCGCGGCACTACAAGCATGCGCAACGTCTCCCTTGGAATAATCTGATGTTTGCGATTCGTCCGCAGCTCAATCAAACCCTCTGGAACCAGGGCCGCAATATAGGCGCCTTAAGAATTACCTATACTATTTGGGGTTTTTTATTATAAATATAGTATAATGGGCTCCAAAACCCTATTCTAATTAATAAGGCCGTCTATTACCTGCTGCCGGGCATTCGCCTGGATCGAAGACAAGCCATCCCAGGCACGGCATCGCATGCTGGGAACCCTAAACTTAAAGCATGACGACCACATAGCTTTAAGTGAGCCGTTCGAGTAAATCAAACCCTGAACCCTAAACCCCAAAACCCTTCTCGAATGGATCCTGTAAGCAGCCAGGTCCGAAAACAAAGCAGGCACCAAATTGCCCTAAAGTGTGAGAGAGGTTAGTCTAAGGGCTTAGGGCTTCGCGTTCAGAACCCTAAACCCTAAACCCTAAGGCTTTTAGAGCTCAGGGTCTAAGGGTTGTGGGCTCAGCCTCGAAGGGTTTAGGGGTTAGGGCGTTTGGGGTCTTACGGGCAGGGATGTGGGATCTGGGATTAGGGCCTATAGAATCTAAACCCCGAAGCGGTAAACCCCTTAACCCTGAACCCCTTAAACCCCTAAACCCCTAAACTCCTTAGAACCTAAACCCTATATATGGTCCGGAATGAAGCCCCCGAAGCTGTCCTGCAGAGCAAAAGCATCTGGAGATGCCCGCTGGGGCTCATCCTCAAGACACTCGGTTCAGACTTGAAGGTAGATTTGAGGGACTAGGGTTCAGGACTTGGGATTCAGGGCTAAGGCTTTTTGAGTCTAGAGTTGAAGTTTTTGTCGACGCGTTTTTCCAACTGCATGAGGTTGAGGGTGTAGGATTTAGTGTGGGGTTTAGGGTTGGGTTGGGGGTTAAACTTTCCAATCCGAGCGGTAGCTGGTTTGCATGTTGGCTGTGCCCTGGCCCTAGCCCCATCCGTGCTTGTCATAGCCAAGGGAACGCTGAGCTACCTGCTGACGAGACATGAAACCTCCCACATGCAGAGAGCAAAACATAAAACCCCTAAACCCTAAACCCCTAAACCTTAAACCCTAAACCCCTAAACCTTAAACCCCAAACCCTAAAAAAACCTTTTAAACCCTAAACCCCAGCAAAACATGAAACGGTGCCGGCGTAGGTCTCCATTTCGGAGAAGGCCTCAACCCCAAACTCGCGCCCCTTTTCTAGGGCCCCAAAAAAGGCACATAAGCAAAAATTGGGATAGGGATATCTCATATACAATTCCCCTTATAATGAAGCCCAATAAGGTAGGTATATCCCTATAAAATGCTTATGCCTTATGTCCTTTTGGGGGTCCCTAACTTTCTGGGACCCTAACGAAGCTCTTTCGCCGAGCTTCCGCAGACATTCCCGGAACGAAGACGACGTTGAAGCCCATGTGGATGTAGCAGGGGTTCCTCTGCGGCGCCTCCGAGATTCTAGGAGGCTGGAGTGTAGGGCTAAGGGTCTGAGGATTTAGGGTCTGAGGGTTTAGGGTTTGAGGGTTTAGGGTTTTAGGGTTTGGGGTTTTAGGGTTTAGGGTTTTAGGGTTTAGGGTTTAGGATTCAGGATATGTGAGTTTCCGAACATTTGAGGTACCTTATTTTGGGGCTCCTTATAGTGAGGATCCTACTATATTAGGGTACTATATGCGGGTCCCCTATCTTTGGAAACTCTCATTTCGGGGCCTGAGTATGCAATTAGAATGGCGCTTCGAGGTGTATCACAGTATACGAGGATTCAGGAGCACCAGAGTCCCGACAAGTTTGCCGCAAAAGCCGTGGAGGTGGGGGTTTCGGCTTTTCCCTCAAAGCCCAATCTCTATACCCTTGAAGCCTCCCTCTTCCCTTAAACCTGAAGTACCTAAAGGGCTTTCGGGGGGTCGCTGTTCAGAAGACTGAACAAGTAGCATCATAAGTCATAAGTCAAGTGACTGTAATTATATCTACAATCCTGCTTGCTACATCCCCTGAACCTTCAACCCCAACCCCTGAAACCCCAAACCCTAAACCCTGAACCCCTAAACCCTGAAACCCCAAACCCTAAACCCTGAACCCTAAATCCTAATCCCCTAAACCCTGAACCCTGAAACCCTGAAACCTGAACCCCGAACAAGGTCCCTCTAAAGGAGCCCTTTATGCTGACGAAGCCCTCTGATCCTCTCTGTAAATCCCAAACCCAGATCTTCCAATATGGGTGTTTCCGAAAATAGGGGGCCCTCATATAGTACCCTAAACTTGGCGGACTTCTGAACCCGTCCTACAAGTTAAACTTTTAGCCTCCTTATTATAGTTCATATAGAAACCCAAAAAGTTAAAGTCTAAAGAGCCAACCAGAAGAACGCCAAGTAAATAGTAGGCTCCGTATTATAAGGACCCCAAAATAAGGTACCCCTAATCTCGGAAACTCCCATATCACTTCATTAAGGAAGAAGCCTTCAGTTACAGTATAATTGCAATAGAGGCCCCTGATAAGATTTAAGGTATCTTGCTCAATAAAAAGGTATACCTTTACAAAATAGTAGGACTCCCGATATATGATGTTCGGGCATCTTCTTTAATGGAGGGCTTTTGAATGATCCGGGAACCCACCGCCTGCAACACGCGACTGCCTGACTGCCTGGTTCTTAGTACCCAGACCCACGGGAGGATCATGGGACTGAGTAGGGTTCCTTTAAGGGCTCCTTTAAGGGATCCTTTAGGGTTTAGGGTTTAAGGATCTATAAGGGAAAGTAGATCCCCTAATTTGGTGGCCCTATATCACTAAGGGTACTTTATAGGAACTCCCATTAAGGGATCTACTTTTTGGATCCTCCCGGGGGTCTGGGTAGAGAATGGGGGGTATGGGCTATGGGACTGTTATTGGGGATTATAGAGGGATTACTACAAGGATCCATTCCCCCATTCCCTACTAAGAACCAAACAGCTTAAGCAGGGATTACGACTTGGCTTGTCCACCCTTGGAACCAACATAAAATCAGCATTTGGAACCACCATTTCCAAAGAAAGCTACCCAGATCTTCCAAAATCCTGAAAGAAGGATCATATTCGGGATCCCACTGTAAGTGCAGGTATATTCTTTACTTAAGGCATCGTGGAAGATCTGGGTATACCTGGGTATACCCGAACCACACAGGTTGGTCTGGCTTTGGGCCTTTAGGATGGTTTGCCTGCTCAGGGTTGCACAAATCTGGAGACGCGCCGCTTTGATGGCGGTGTACTTGAAGGCACATGGGACTTAGTAAGTAAAGTTATAAGTACGTTACAATTAGGATAACCCCACTTACGGGACTTAAAACCCCAATCATAACCCACTTACAAAGCCCCATGATCCTCTAAGTACTCCCTAAACCCTATAGACCCCTTTAAGGAACCCTAAAGATCCCCTTAAGGATCCTGACCTACTAAGCCCCATGATCCTCGAAGTAGGGCCCGCGCGAGTATCAGCGAAGGCGTCTCCAGGAGAGCCATGACAGAGTCGGACCAAGCTGTTCCTTCAAAGGGGAAAAGGAGGGACCCATAATGGGGACCCCTACCCGATAATGGGCTATATAATGGGTATATAATAGCTATATTGAGTGGATATACCTAGGGGTCCTTATTAAGGGTCCCTCCTTTTCCCCTTGGATTCCTGCTTGCAGCTATGTGGGTGGTTATCAAAATTAAGGTCCCTTTAAAGGGATCTATAGGGCTTCTATAAGGGCTCCTCTAAGGGTTCCTTTGGAGGGATCTATAGGGCTCCTATAAGGTTATCAAAATTAGGGTCCCTTTTTGGGTACCCTAAAATAATAGGTGCCGTATAATAAGGACCCCTAAAAGGGACCCTTAACTTTGACAACCACCCATGTATTTTGGGGCTTAGCTTTTCGGGTAAGCCTTAAAGTCCAGAAGCAGCACGGGAACCCCAAGGCCCCAAGACTTCAGAACATGCGGTCGTCGGATTCAAGGGTCGCACGGTCTCACATGATTTTAATGTACCCAGATGGGCCGATATCGCCTTGACGAAGAGGGGTTTCCATTTTTATTCAAGGACGGTTCCTTAGTCCATGGGGTGTTGGGCTCTCTGGGTAAACCCTAAAGCCTCAAGTCAGACACCCCTGAACCCCAAACCCCAAAGCCCGACACCAATAAATCCCAGATCCCCGAGTCTTAAACTACCATTTGCTAACCCTGAAACATAAACCCTGCAACTCAAACAGCAACACCTTTCAATATCGAGCTTTCTGTGGGCTTTTGGTGAACAAAGTCTGCAGTCCGCCAAGTTCCAACTGCAGGATCTATTCTTGAACACCATAAGGCACCTACGATTCAGACTTTGGGGCATTTTTGGGTTTATTTTAAGTGCAATGGGGCCTTTTTTTGGCATTTTGGGGGTTTAGGGTTTAGGGTTCACGGCTTCAGGGTTTTCGGCCTCGGGGTTTGAGGACCCTTGGGCTTTGGGTATTGAGAGCGTCGTGGGGTCGTGGGGCGCAAGACTCTGCGGGCTGCTTGAGTTTAGGGTTGAGGGGTTTAGGGGTTTAGGGCTTTAGGGTTTAGGGATTAGGGTTTAGGGCTTTGGGCGAGAGGCACACGGTAGCAAAGGATCCTAAATGAACTAAGGCTTGGGGAACACGATGCTCTAAAAATGGTTAGGAGCCCCAAGACATGATACTACTGGTTCTTTAGACACCCATATTGGCAGTCTTCTCAAAACCTGTTCTCCTTCCAAGCCACCTGGAACCTCGAAGAGAGTTCATGCATGACTACTGTAGGGGGCTTAATAATTAGAATAGGGTTTTGGGGCCCATGTTACTACAATTATAATAAGGAACCCCCAAAATAGTATTGGCAAGTAGTCAGGCCCCTATATTACTGTACTGCTGCCTTTCAACTAGAGGGCTGTTTGGGCTTATAGCTTAAATCTTAATATGAAGCCCAATAAAATTGAAGCCACGTTCCTTAATTAAGGGGTATTGGGCTCTCTGGGCTGTTTGGGCTTATTGCTTAAATCATAATATGAAGCCCTATAGAAATCTATTCCATGTTCCTTAATTAAGGGTATTGGGCTCTCTAGGCTGTTTGGGCTTGAGGATGGTGTCAAGCAGGGCTCAGCTCCCAAACCTTATGCGAAACCACGACCCCCTATTACTCAGGGATCTTACAGCCCATAGCCAGAGCAAAAACCCTAAACTCTATAGATTCCTTGAAAACTATGTAGAATACGGTATCGCCCCTATAACATATCTTGAGCACAAACCTGTATCCGAAATGCTGCTCCTTGAAGCGTGCTGTGACCGCTTGAGGCCGACAATGCAACGTTCACCGAGACGAGGAGATCTTCCTGCTTGTCTGCTTCTCTTCAGGGCTCAAAGGGGAAAAGGAGGGACCCTTAATGGGAACCCCTACCCTATAATGGGCTATACGATGGGTTAAAAATAGCTATGCTAAGGGTATATACCTAGGGGTCCTTATTGAGGGTCCCTCCTTTTACCCTTGGAAGGGCTTTATCCTTTCGGTTTTTCCCCTAAACCCGAAACATGAGACCTTAAGTCCTCGTCTCTCTAACGCCAAAGCTTCAGTGTGAGGGCCTGCCTCACACGGTGCCTCGTTTGAGTTACTTGGAGGGTCGGGGGACTCAGACTAGTAAGTAGTAAGTAGACTTATAAGTACCCGAAAAGGGACCCTACTTGGGGTTATGGTACTTATAAGTCTATAAAATAACCAGTTACTAAGTCCGCCGACCCTCCAAGTATGAACTCCACAAAGGCTCCTTGCTAAGAAGTGTGTGTCCAGCTGCCGACCACGAACCGTAATTCGGATGCAACCTGCGTTTGAAGCAGCCCTGCAGCACAACAGCTTCAACTCCTAACGCTGAACCCCAAACCCTGAGCGACACATCAACCCCATCGAGCCTGAGCCACGAACGCGTCAAGGGTGTAAGCTTTGGGTTCGAGGTTGAGGGTGGGTGTTCCTGAACCCGACACCCACGATCGGGCAGCCCCAACCATGTCCTCGAATATTTCCTCCAACTTCTCGCGCCAAAGAATCAACCTGGTGGGAGTTCGGCCGATTTGAAGTCCAGGTTTGCTTAGTTGTCGACCCCAAGGATAAAGGTTTAGGATTCTGCTTATGTTTCAAGCTTTAAAGATATAGAGCTTACATGCAATGCTCCGTCTCCAGAACCATCTCTCAAGTATAGAAGCTACAAGTTCCAGGTGCCTGCCTAGGACATTTCAATAGCTCGTCCGTCCTCTATACAACGAATAAGAGCGAGTATTTCTTTTGACTATTTTTCTGTTTTTTTTGTATATTTTCCTGGGTTTCGTTCTGTTTTCCTTGGTTTTCGGAGGCGTCACCTTCCAAAGGAAGCTGTTGATTCATCGTGGCTTAGTTAAGTTCATGCCAGACGCAAGTCGCTAAACTCAGCGTCTCGAAGTCCAGACTTTACTGGGTTTGGGGTTTAGGGTTTAGGGTTTAGGGTCTACCAATCAGCCAAGGAAGTGCTGGAAAACTAGTGCTACCTAGGTTAAGATGATCAAAACAAATCTGTCAAGTGTCTTGAATTGAACCTGCAAGTGAACCCCATAGTCCTCCGACCCCAACCCTAAACCCTCAACCCCAAAATCCCAAACCTTAAACCACAAAAAAAAAACTTGCCCTTCGTCTCACCGGTGGAGCCCTTGTGTTCAGGTTTCGGGGTGCCAGACACCAAGGTTTGGGGTTTCTGGGACTGGTCGAAATAATCCCTAGCTCTACTGTCACAAAAGCACGACATGATTCAGCGCGGAAATCCCGACTGAGTAATTGAAGGCAGGGGGCAGCGAGACAGCCTTTAAGCTAACAGCGCTGGACGTCGGTGTGCCTTGGGAGACAAGGTGCAGAGGCTAGCTCTTTAGACGAAAGGCTTCCAAATGGTAGACGCTAGAGCCTACTCTCCAAAAGGGTGAAGATTCGTGTTCAGGGCGGGTTTAGGGTTCAGGGAACAGGCTTTAGGACTGACAGTGACAGAGTTGAGGATTGAAACCTTCGAGGGCTTGGGTTCCCACACGTTTCAGCTTGTTGGATGGATGGGTCCAGCTTGCGGCGCGGGGCGTGAGGCTTTCTGCTAAGTGAACACTGTTTCGTGTCCCTGTCCCTTAACACGCTTGACCGTGAACTGCAAACCCTCAACTCTAGAGACCAGAACCTTTAAACCTAAACCCTAAAGCCCTAAAGAATAGAGCTTCAGTATTGCAGCTTCTCCTCTCCTTATGACGGGCTCGTGGGTGCAGGAAGTTTATCATGAACCATCCCTGCAAATCCACATGCGGACCAAAACGACCCGAAAGTTTGCAGCTTCAACCCTCGCGAAAACTAACCACTGGTTTTGGGGGTTCCCTTGGCTCTTTAGCTCCGACTCCTTATCTAATAGGGATTATCATCATCCCTGGCTCCTTAGCTCCCCCAAAATCAATGGTTCCCCAACTCCGAAACTCAACAACACCCCGAAAGCTCTGGGCTTGAGCTCTTTGCGCATGCAGACAAAGCACCAGCTTGCCACACGGCGAGCTCTGACGCCTGCTTCACTGCCCACGCCTGCTGAGGGAGTGCCGTTCTTGTTCTTTTTGGGCCGGGGTGGATCGGGGTGGTTGCGGGGATCGTGACGGAAGCCTTTAACCCAAAATCATGAATTCGGGTTAGCACTCAGGTCCTGGAGTGCAGAGTTTCTGTGCGGTCGTTTGGTGAGGCCAATGTTTGTCAAAGCAACATCCTAAATCTGCAGAAACCCTGCAACAGCCTGGATCGCAGTCTGACCAGGAGTGCATGGCTTGGGAAGGAAGAGCGTTCCCGCAGCATGCAGGACCATCCAGCTGACAAGCCACTGCACCTTCAGTTTAGGGGCAGAGGTGTTTCTACGACTATACACCCAACCCTTTGCAAGTCACTTAGGAGGGCCACCATGTAACACCTGCTAAAGTTTGGCGACACTCTCGAAACTTCAGTCTTCCTCTACCCTAGACCGCAAGGCCTTTTGAACAAACAAAAACTGAGAGCCAAAGAAGCCTAAAGGTACATTAAATGCAATGAAAACAGCTCTAAAGACTGAGACTTGCGGGGTTACTATGCTGCGAAAAGCTAAAGCGAACGTAAGGAACGACGACATCGAGAGAACAAAAGCTGCGCCCGACTTTGCTATGAGCCCGGCTAAGGTTCAGGGTTTAAGGCTGAGGGCTTGGCTTAGGGTTTAGAGTTTAGCGAAGTGTGGGCCTCTACTTGAACGATCGAGCCGCGAGTGGATCAAACTTTCATCCTAGCACAGCCACAGGTGACTAAGGCTTCTGCACTGTTACTTCCTGGCTTTTGGACTGGAGCTTAAACTACGGTTGATGATGTAAATCCTGCATTACCTTAAGGAACCTGAAGTATGGGAATTATGGTATATTCCTTTTTATGGGTAATGCAGGATTTATATCATCAACCCTACTTCCTGGCTTTTGGAGGAGCTTAGACTAAGGGCGAAGGGGTTCAGGGCTTCAGTTCATTAAAACGCTTGGGCGTTTAGGGCCTCTTCCTTCGATTTCACAGCCTGGTCGAGCTTCTCTCTGTCTTAGTAGCCTCTATTCATACTGATACGTTTAAGAAAACTTGCCTTATCGGCAAGGGTCTCGTATCTCCTAAAGGCAGAAGCCCGGTGGTCGTCCAAACAACATCCCAGAGACTCCAATACCTCTTAATTCAGGAATATTCCTTAAACCATATTTGGGATCCACTATAATTTAAGGTATATTCCTTAATTAAGGGATATTAGAATTCCCTAACCCCTAAACCCTACAGATCCCTTATAGATCCCTTAAAGGAACCCTAACCCTAGGTATTCCTTCATTAAGGGATATTGGAGTCTCTGGGATCCTGGACCCTGAACTTTAAACCCCTACAGTAAACCCTAACCCCCCGGCCCACTGCTTAAGCCCTACTATAAACGCCTTAAATAATCACCTATGCAATGTTGGGGTCCCGTATTATAATTAAAATATTTAATACACCCCCAAACCGTATTCTAATTATTGAAACCCCTATACTACACCCCCATAGTACCCCTTATAGTATCCCTTAAAGGAACCCTTTAAGAACCCATTCAAGATCCTTTAATGGATACTATAGACCCTTTCTAAATGTTAAGGCCCCCTATGTTAAGCTTTTGCGCCTCCGCCTGCAGGTCGCAACGTCCAAGGAGTTGCGATGAAAGGCTGTAGGACAGATTGTATGCCCCCACCTGGCTAGGGAACCATGGCAGACAATACGGTATTTGGGGTTTAGGGTTTAGAAGGGATCTATAAGGGTTACTTTAAGGGATCCAGGACAGGTTGTATGCCCCCGACCTGGCCAGGAGCGGCGGATGGGGCTCCTTTAAAGGGTTCTATTAGCGGTACTATAAGGGTGAATATATTATAGGGGTTTTAATAATTAGAGTAGGGTTTCAAGGTAAAATAAAGGAACCGGCAAAATAGTGCGGGTAATTATTTGAGCCCCTGCAGTAGTGTTTACGGCTTAGGGTATCTCGCTCCGAACCAATATCCAAATCTTGCATGCTGACACTTTTGCGCATGGGAGAATGAGACCCAGGTCAATGATGTGAGTTGATGTTGATAGCTGATAGCTTTTAACCCTCTCATGACATAGGTGCCCAACTTCCGAACCGCACAGATCGTGTTATAGAAACATGTGCCCATACTTGGAGGATCATGGGACTTAGTAACTATAGTTATAAGTCCCTTATTTGGGATTACAAGTAATTTTAAGTATAGTTACCCCAATAATAACCCTAGTTACTAAGCCCCATGATCCTTGAAGTAGGGCCTAAACCCTAAACCCTATAGATCCCTTTAAGGAACCCTATAGATCGCTTTAAGGAACCCTATAGATCCCTTTAAGGAGCCCTTTAAAGTTACTAAGTCCCATGAACCTTTAAGTAGGGCTTCATGTCCTGAACCTCCGAACACCCCTTCCAGATCGGCCCTCTTGGCCTTGAGCGAGCAAGCAAAGCTCAACGCTTTCTACGGTTGATGATATAAATCCTGCATGGCCCATAATAAGGAATATGCCATAAGTTGCCATAGTTTAGGGTCCTGAAGGTAATGCAGGATTTGTATCATCAACCGTATGACGTCCAGAAACGAAATACAGCAATTTATGGCTCAGAAGTACGGCTACAATGGCTACAAGTCTGCACTACTTGTCTGCAATCAAAACCTTGCGGGTCCCGACACGGATCAGGATTTAGAGGGTGATCTAACAGTCTTCCGCGGGCTTGCGGCTGAAAAGCTGCTGGCACCCAGAGACTCCAAAAACCCCTTAATTAAGGAATATTCCTTAAATCATATTAGGGATCCCTAATATGATTTAAGGTTTATTCCTTAATTAAGGGGTATTGGAGTCTTTGGGCACCGTTCGCATCCTCCCGATCAGGACTTTGGCTTTCCAGAGTCACCATGTGCCAAACCCGACTCGGCGAGTCAGTTGACAAACCGGCAACCGCTTACTTGGAGGATCATGGGACTTAGTAACTATAGTTATAAGCCCCTTAATTGGGGTTGTAAGTATTTATAAGTATAGTTACCCCAATAATGGCCCGAGTTACTAAGTCCCATGGTCCTTTAAGTAGGCCTGCATGCAGACGTTCATCTCGGGGGCACCACGCAGACTTACCACTTCAAAACAGACCTTTCAAGCCTCCTTTCAACCTCAAATTAAACCCCTAGAGCCCTGAGGGTTCAAATCCGGAAGCCCCGAAGTCCTGAAGGCCTAAACCCTGAAGCAAGAAAACCTGCCTTAAAGTTCAGAGCCCCAAACCTGAACTGGGTCCCAGGTTCATCCCCTCGTGCCTGGTTCGATGCTGTCGCAGACAGGCTTAATGCCGTGGAGATTTCTTCCTTGGGGCTCGCCATAAACTGCGCGCTCTGAAGACACCGCTGAAGGTTTCGGTTATGCCCTTTAAGGAACATTACTTTGGGGTTCTCTGTTTACCAGTCTGCAGCTTGGGGAATATGACTCTACATATGGCTTCTGCGGCTTTGCAGAGTAGCGGTTATGATTCTGGGGCATGTTCAAGGTACGGGTCTCTACGCTTGCTGTGCTCGGCTCCACAATCACGCCGCGAAGCTGCACTGTCTGATTGCCGCATGGGTGATTGTCAAAATTAGGGTCCCTTTCTGGGGTCCTTAATATAATACGGCACCTATTATTTAAGGTACCCCAAAAGGGACCCTAATTTTGACAACCACCCACATGTTTTACGGGCTACATTTTATCATAATTGCTCGACGTCAACCGCTAAACCCGAGCCCTAGACCCTAAAATCTTCAATCCCTAAACCGTGCTCCGATTATTGAGGCCCCTGTGCCAGTGACCGATGTCAGGTTTAGGGCTTTGAAGTAACCAGGTGGAAAAAAGTATAGACTTTTATCTCATAATCGCCCCCTTTAAGTACCAGGTTCCCCAAACAAGTATTAAAAGTATGGCACTCCAAAGCCCAGGGCTTAGGGCACACCTACGCCGCTTCACCAGCCCAGCGTCGAGCGCTGCGCCCACGGAGCAATTGAAGCCTTCGAGGATCCTTCGGTTTCTGGGCTTCGGGCTTTTGTGGTTTAGGTTTTTTTTTTATAAAAAAAAAAGGGTTTAGGGCTTTGGGGGTTCAGGGGGTTTAAGCTGAAGGGGGTTCAGGGTCTCAAAGAGCTTGGCTTCAGGGGTTTAGGGGTTTAGAGATGTAGGGGGTTCAGGGTTTTAGAGGGCTTAGGGTTTAGGGTGAAGGGGTTTAGGTTTAGTGATGTCGGGTTCAGGGTTTTAGAGGGTTTCGGGCTTAGGGCTTTAGGGGTTAAGGGCCGTTTAGGGCTTCAGGGGTTTGGGGGTCTGGGGGTTCAGGGGGTTTAGGGGGTTTAGGCGGTTTAGGCGGTTCAGGAGGTTCAGGGGTTTTGGGGGGTCTGGGGGTAGGGGTTTAAGGGTTTAGGGTTCAGGGTGTAGGGTGGCTGAAGGCTTTGGGCATAGAGTTTGGCGGTATTGCCCTGGCAGCCACTTGGAGGGTCGGGGGACTTAGTAGGGTTTAGTAGACTTATAAGTACCCTAAAAGGGACCCTAATTGCAGTTATGGTACTTATAAGTCTAAAAAATAAACGTTACTCAGTCCCCCGACCCTTCAAGTGGCTGCCACCCCGGCAGTCCTCGACGGACACGTCAGCAGGAAGGTCAAAGCATAGATCTGCCTGAGGCTGTCAGCTTCCCAGAGACTCCAAGATCCCTTAATGAAGGAATATTCCTTAGATTATATTACGGATCCTACTATGATTTAAGGAATATTCCTTAACTAAGGGATATTGGAGTCTCTGGGTTCGGCACACAGATGTACCTAAACGCAAAGCCCTCGAAGGAAACCCTAGGCCCTAAACCCCCAAAATACACCTAAACCCTGAACTCTTGACGGTAGGAGTTTCTGACTTAGCCTTAAAATCGCCCGAAACTTTCGCCACCAAGCAATACATTCAGCCATCAAAACCAGAGCCCTGAAACCTAAATCCTTACACCCGCGATCCTGAAGCCCAAGCACCAGGTTGCCAGACCCTACAACCCCAAGAAACACGAAAACCACAAACCTAACCGCTCAGGCAGCAAGAGAAATCTAACGGCTCAAACACCCACAACCCACAAACCAAATCCAGCAAAGCATTCAGGAGAATGGAAACCTCCCACAAAAAAGATAAGACTCGAGGATTATCTGTAAAAACTAGCTGCCTGAACCCTAAGCCCTGAGGCGTCCATCCAGTGGATCCTTTAAAGCCCAGAATGCAGGGGCCTTATTAAGTAGAATAAGGGTTATAGTAGACGTAAAGTAAGGAAACATACGAATAGTCTTGGTAATCATCTTGGCTTCTATATCGCGTCATTGATCCGCGAGTCTGGAAGCAAGGGCGTAGGGGGAGGGCCGACGTCCACTTGGAGGTTCGCGGTGCTATCGACTTAGTGAGACCTGCACCTATACTCCAATTAAATCCCAACTGTATATTATATAAGGCTGAGGGTGTAACCTGTTTGAGTTATAGGCTATATAGCGGACGTATATTTGGGCTATAGGCACAATTACAACTCAAAAGAAGCTTCCAAGATGCTGTTAACACCAGCGCAGAGCGACAAAAGCGACCAGAAAAGAATTGCAAAAACATTGGATAGGGGCCCTAACCACAAGGAACCCTCAAGCAGTTTTAATAATAGCGGTTCCAGCTTCTACTATATGGCTATAAGCACCAAGAAGTAGTTAAATCTGAAGCAGGGCCATGGCGCACAACGTCGGCCTCAAGACAGTCCCTTGCGTAGAAGTAACCCGAGCCCACCTAAACCCTAAATCCGAAGCCCTAAACCCTAATCGATACACCCTGACGTTCAACCCGAAACCCTAAACCCGAAATGCGAAATCCTCACCTTAAACTTCAGGTTAAACCTTAAACCAGAAACCCTAACCTTAAACTCGAAACCCGAACCCCTACTTGGAGGGTCGGGGGACTTAGTAAGTAGGTAGTAAGTAGACTTATAAGTACCCTGAAAGGGACCCTAGTTGGGGTTATGGTACTTATAAGTCTGTAAAATAGCCAGTTACTAAGTCCCCCAACCCTCCAAGTAGCCTTACCCTAAACCCTAAACCCTAAACCCTAAACCCTAAACCCTAAACCCTAAAGTAGCCTCTAAGTATTCGCTGCCAAGCAGCAGAACTGCACAGGCGACCTGAAAGCCTCTCAGCAGCAGACTGTCCCAGAGAACCCGAAATGATATACTTTAATCATTAGAATAGGGTTCCTTTAAAGGGTTCCTTCAAGGGATACGATAAGGGTACTATAAGGGATTTAACCTTGAGTTAGGGCTGTGTAAGGGTCGCACCAAATTTTAAGAAGTTGCAGGCTTTAGAGGAAGAGGGCTATGGGGCTTCGTAAAGGCCCTATAGAGCCATGTAACGGGCTTATAGGGGATCATAGAGGTTGAATAGGGCTTTAGTATATCTAAAACCTGAAAGCAAGCAAAAAATTAAGATTACGACTTTTGGGTTCGGGGCATTTTTTCCTGTAGAGGCCTGAGAAATTAGAACAGGGTTTCGGGGTATCAGATACTCTCATCAAAACGGGAGCATGAGGGAACAGCATTTCCAATCATTCCGACCCTGTATTCGGGATGAGGCTTTAGGTTTTAGGTAGGGCTTGGTGCATTTGGGTTGTTGTCAGAATTAGGGTCCAGTTTTGGGTCCTTATCATAATACGGCATCTATTATTTGGGGTACCCAAAAAGGGACCATAATTTTGACAACCACCCATTTGGGTTCACAGCGACTGCTTCTGGTGTTTGGCTTCGGGTTTGGAAGTCTGAGCGTCACCACTCATAGAGGGCGTAATAAGGTTGACTAAGGTTTACTGCAATGCTAAGCGGGAACGCTTAGGAATGCTGTCAGTAATATTAAAACCCTGGAGTAGGCATTTGTTGGAATTCTTTAGCCGCATATTCGTAAAAATGTTCAAAGTCAGGCTTTGAGTTCCCCTCAGGTTTTGTTGGTGCTGAATCTTATGTGCATGCGGGTTGGAATTCATTCCAATGGCCCGAAGCGTCATCCAAAACCTTTTCGAGGCGTTTCATCTGAACCCCTGAGCCCAAGCTCTCAAAAATTGAACTGGAGAAGAAAACAAAGAAACCCATTAAAAAAAGCACCGACAACACCTACCCTGTCAAAATCCTCTCAAGACCTCTCCACTCTAAACAAGCCCCTCTAAAACCATAAGGCCCTCTATCTGGACTTTGAAGTAGCCAGGGAGAAAAAAGTATAGGCTGTTTTATTCATAATGGTTCTTTTAAGGAACAGGTACCAAAAAAAGTATTCAAGTATGGTACTCCAAACCCAGGTACCATGTAAACCATGGTAAGGTCCCACATGGGTGGTTGTCAAAATTACGGTCCCTTTTTGGGTACCCTAAGTATGAGGTGCCGTATTATAATAAGGACCCACAAAGGGACTCTACTTGGGGGGGTCGGGGGACTTAGTAACTGGTTATTTTAGGGACTTATAAGTGCCATAACCCCAATTAGGGTCCCTTGTTAAGGTACTTATAAGTCTACTTACTACCTACTTACTAAGTCCCCCGACCCTCCAAGTATACTATCCGGACCCAACAAACCCAGAGACCTCTCTGAGATTTCTGTGGGCCAAGAAGCGTTGGCCCTCCGGAGTTTCCCGGTGCTGCCAATTCTTCACCTGGGTTTGGGGTTTAGGGTTTAGGGTTTAGGGGTTTAGGGGTTTAGGGTTTAGGGTTTAGGGTTTAGGGTTTAGGGTTTAGAGTTTAGGGTTTAGGGTTAAGGGTGGGTGGTTGTCAAAATTAGGGTCCACTTTTTTGGGGGTCCCTTAAAAGGGATCTATAGGGCTCCTATAAGGGCTCCTTTAAGGGTTCCTTTAAGGGGATCTATAGGGCTCCTATAAGGTTGTCAAACTTAGGGTCCCGTTTTTGGGTCCCTAATACAATACTGCACCTAATATGTAGGGTACCCAAAAGGGGACGATAATTTTGACAACTACCCACCTGAAAGCTCCACCGAAAAAATCTCGAGGTCCCTGTTTCGCATTGGGTTTAAGAAGGGATTGGGGTTTAGGGCTTCTGGGCGGTGGCTTCAAGCGCCCAAAAGCTAGTAATACAAGATGAGTGTGGTTATAATGGTGGTAGCACTATTGGTGCTAGCGCTGATGTAGATTGCGGTGCTGGTCAACTTGGCGGTGAACATGGTAAACCTGTAGAGACGAACATGGATGTGTAAATGCACCGAGAGACCTTGCAGCATCGGATGTCCTGGCATGCGAAAACAGGCATTTGCCGAGCTGCCTGGCCTCACAGCATGCCCTTCTGTTCAAGCTGAACCAACAGAGCCCTAAACCCTAAAACCGAAGATGCACTCTCTGTTCAAGCTGGCTGAACCTACAGATCCTAGAAGTGGCTTGTTCTTTTAAGCCACATGCTCCATGCCCCCAACAACGGACTCTGAACTGCAGCACCGACAATCTGGCATGCACATTCGGATACACTTTGCAGGTGCAGAAACCAGCCGTCCAGCTAGCAATGGCCTGACGAGCAAAAGAATAGTTGATTCCTCCCTAAACCCTAAACCTCTCTTCTTCAACAACCGGGCCCCAAAAAGTTCAAACTTTCTGAGATAGAGCTAATATACAAGGCCAAAGAGTTTAAAGTTCCCCCGTTCACTATCTAAGAAACTGCTTCAACCCTAAACTGCTTCGATCGGAGGCCTCAAAAGGTGGGATGAAGGTAGGTGGGATATTCCCAAAGGAGAGTCCTTATACAAGGGATCCTTGATCCTACCCACCTTCATCCCACCTTTTGAGGCCTCCGGTTCGACCCCAAACCCTGAAACGAAGAAGACTACGTCCCAGCTTGGTCCTCAAGGATGTTCCATATCACAAAGGGCTCCGCAGCATGCAGTGCCCCAAAAAGGCGTACCTAAGCATCGCTCCGCTTTGCGACGGCTCCAGTAGTCCGACTCTTGGAAACCTCATGCTTAATGTAGGGGCCTGAATAATGAGAATAGGGTTCTGGGGCTCTTTTATACTATAACTGCAATACGGAGCCCTCATAATTGCATAGGTAATTATTAACTATACTGAACTTAGAACCCTAGCAAAAATTAAAATTTTAGCTGTTTCTTAGGGATTATAATAACCAAAAACTAAAAATTATTTCTAAGTACCCCTACCCCCGGGCCTAGCACTCTCTTTGGGGCGGGGGTTTCTTTTGGAAAGGTGTGGACCCCGGGCGGCGGCACTAAGGGCTCTTGCCCGATGAGCACCCCCTTTCCCCCCCTCCCTTGTGCTAGGGCGACAGTGCCCTCTAGTATTCTGGCTCAACTGTTGTTGCAACTGATCCGACGATGCCGACGTCTCCACCCATCATGGGCCTGAGGACATCCAGTGTATATGTGAGGTATTCCACGCTCATCATATGCATTAGCAGCTCCCTGGATTGCTACCTTTGTTATCGGCCTTGTTCCAGGGCTGCGCCTCTGTGCTGTTCATTGCCGCGGTGGTGTGCATGTTCATTTACTGTACCTGATTGTTGGCGTGCTCGCCCTCGGTGCTGGAACAGTGTTCCCTCTGCACATGGCGCACGCCTTTGGGTCGCCTTGTGTGTGCCCTCTGTGCATGGAGCCTCGCTCCCTCGGCACTGGCCGCACGGTTCGCCCCCTTGCAACTCTTTGCGTCTGCTGCCGGTTACTTGGTGTGTTCTTTGGCGCATACAGGCATAAGTATTATCGGTTGGTGACGTCTGGCTTGGCCTCCTGCCTGCTTTATCCCTGATCAAGGACTATGCCTCTCCGATTCTTGGGTTGAAACATGTACCTTAGTATTCTACACCGTGACCTGTCTGCACTAGCTAGTTTCTCCCCCACTTGAACTCTGGGACGGAGGGAGGCGATGACGCTTGCGGAGCCCCCCCGAGATGTTGAGAGGGACGTGGGAGGTAGGCCGCACCGTAAGTGCCGGTCGACACTCACTCACTCACTCACTCACTCTAAGTACCCCTAAGTTAAGGCTCCTGTATGAGATGCTTGTTACTTCTATCGTTCCATCTCTCCTGAGTGCTCCTTACATCTTCCGCAGGGTTCAACCTGGTCCCATGATCCTTTAAGTAGGATTTAGGGTTAAACCCATTCCCTAAAGCTCTCCAGACATGAAAAGCCCGATTCGATTATTTTTTTCCGAGGGCCACCTCGAAACATAGAGGCTGGCGAATCTATCCCTTCAAGAGTCGGGGTTCAGGATGCAGGGATTCAGAGATTAAGGCTTAGGGTGTCAGATCGTGCTGTTGTTCTGGAAGACTTCGGAGTTTAGGGTTTAGGGCTCTCGTTCTCGGAAGACTAACGAGTCGCAGCCTCTAGGGTCTAGGACTTAGGGCTCTGGATATTGAGGTGACACATACCTTCGACGCCTCAAAACCAAAACAGGCAATACAAAGATTCGTTGACACGTTTGAAAGAATGCCAAGCTAACTTGAGGACTTGTGATTGGTTATACGGTATGGGTCTTTTCTGTATTCCCAAAAACCAAACGAAACCCCTAAAGCCAGTGGAACTCAGATACAACTTTATGATCGTGCTCAAAGCAAGCGGCAGCCAAGCGAGAAACAGCAACTGGCTGAGCAGGTGCAACGCTGTTGCTGCAGCCAAAGCAAAGCTCCTGCAACCGGCACTCCGACATTGAAACGGGCTTTCAGGTTTCGGTCTCAAGTGCAGAATTATACATACACATATACATACAGACATACGTACAGACATACGTACAAACCAAACATACATGCATACAATCCAAAGCCATGAACCCTCAATCCTTGAAAGTCGCCCCAAACGCTAAACCCCTAAACCCTCTAACCCTGGACCCTAAAAACTCCGAAAGCTCTGTACGCTAAAGCCCGAACCCTATAACCACCAAAACCCCGTAACCCCATAAACCCCGAAAGCCCTAAACCGTAGAGCCCTGAACCCTATTGCCTTACAAAAACCCCTATAACCCCGTAAACTGCAGAAGCCCTAAACCCTAGAGCCCTGAACCCTATAATATAACCCCCAAAACCCCATAACCCCATAAACCCCAAAGCCCTGCAGGGGAAGGCTCAAAAGCTTCGTCCCCGTGAGATTCAAGACTCCACCCATTGAAGATCGCTAGGTCTAAACACCAAGCTCTGAGCCCTAAGCCCCAAACACTTAAGGAACCCCTGAACCCCCCAAAACAAAACCTTAAGATTCGAGCCCTGAACCCTATACCTCAAAGGAACCTCTTAACCCTAAACCTTAACCCCTAACCCCTGAACCCTATACCCTTAAAGAAAGAGACTGGCGTACTAAAGAAAACCCTGGAACCCTAAACCTTCACCCCTAACCCCTAAGCCCTATACCCTTAAAGGAAACCCTGAAACCCTAAACCTTAACCCCTAAACCCTAGACCCGAAACCCTGAAAGAAACCCCTCAAACCCGAAACCCCCAAGACCAAACCCTGCGGGTCCAGCAAGAACTTCGCATGCAGGAGCGTTGCCAGATGCAACTCTGCCATGGGATCAGGCTGCCTTCCCCAGAGACTCCATTATCCCTTAACTAGGGAGTTTACCTTCAATTATAGTAGGATCCTTAATCTGATTTAAGGAAAAATCCTGAATTAAGGGAGAATGGAGTCTCTGGGCTTAGCTTCCGAAACCACTTTTTAAGGCTGCGGTTTGGGGGGAGGGTGGTTTTAGAGGTTTAGGGGCTAATTTAGGGGTTCAGGGGTCAGGGGTTTAGGGTTTTGGGGGTTCAGGGGTTTAGGGGTTTCGCGGTTTAGGGGTTTAGGGCTTTAGGGGTTTACGGGTTTACGGTTTGGGGTTTCGGTGTCTACGGGTTTGGGGGGGTTTATGAGGGGTGATGCAATCCAAATCCCCCCGAAATCAAAGCCGACAACTCCCGAATCCCTCAGCCCCAAATCCTTAACCATAAATCCCAAATCCAAACCCTGCGTCCTAAAAAATTCACGAACCTGGAAGCGAGAAAAGTTTGCAGTCGTGTGGCTCTGGCTTAGCCAGGGCAAGCTGCATTTTTTCGTAGACCGCCTCAGGGGCTCGAGGGGAGGCAGATGATCATCCAAAAACAGCAGTTGGAGGGTTCAGAAATTGGGGTCTGGGTTTAGGCTGAAAGGCAAAACTAGTGCTTCTTACAAGTCTGCTAATTACTTTCTAGATCCTGTCAGGTTCTAGGTCAGTGCAGTGCCAGACAGCCAGCACTGCATGGCTTGCCCGAGAGCCCACCACCCTGATGTTAGTAAACATTTCCTAAGGAATTACTGGCCACGCGGCTCGCTGAATTCCAGCTCCAAACAACTAGTTTCTGCTTGGCGGTTCAAGATATGCTCAACTACTGTAAAACTGTTGTAAGCGACAGCTAGAGGGGGGAGGGCTTGTACAGCTAGTGCACGAGTGCAGCGTTTATTCGATGTCTAAACCCTGAGTTCTGAACGCTCATAAACCCTATATAGGCCAGGCCCTGTACCCCTCCCCCTAAGCCCCTACAACCTAAACCCTCCCTAAACCCCTAAACCCCTAAACCCCTAAACCCCTAAACCCCTCAACCCTAAACCCCTAAACACTAAACCCCTAAACCCGGAACCCTAAACCCCTAAACCCTAAATATAATGGTCAAAGAGACTCCGAAAGACCCACCAACCCCAAAAGCACCCAACACCCGCAGAGCCCTGAGGCTTGGGGTTTGGAGTTTTGGGGGTTTAGGTTTTAGCGTTTAAGGTGTTGTTTAGGGTTTAGGGACTAGGGAACCGAAGATGTTGAGAGTATTGTCTCATGGTCCGAATCCCAAACCCCAAACCCTAGGCGCCTCATTCAGCTTCCCCAATTTCGAAGAAGCCTGAGACTCAGAGGTGCGTGGTTGTGTTGAACGTCGTTTAGGTTCATGGTTGGAATAGGATTAAAAATGTAAATTAATATTCCATATTGGGTTTAAGTGCCCATAAAAAACATAAAATGTTACCCGACTATGACAAAGGTTAAGGTTCAGGGTTCTTTCAGGGTGTGTAGGGGAGTTAGGGTGTGGGGCTTGAGGCTTTAGGGCTTAGGGTTCTGGGGCTTAGGGGTTTCAGGGTCCCATATCTTGTGAGTGATTCTAACGTTCGCAGGATTTAGGCTTAGGCAGTGTAATGTAGCGAGTTGCTGCAAGGCTCCGCCAGAGCACAAACTTGACTTTTCGTAGCCCCGACCTGAAAACAACTCGATCCTCTCTCGAGTCCGTCATGGTTTCTGGCTGTATATCTGTATCTATAATCTATAATCTATATTTGTATCTATATGTACACATGTATATACCAGTAAAGTAGGTGTAGTGTGGTGTGAGTGTGTGTATATATACATATATATATATATATGTATATATATATATATATATATGTATACATGCACATGTTAGTGTGTGCACGGAGAATACAGTATGTATATTATAGTATATAACGCATTCCTGCATGCATAGTGGATTGGAGACAACAGCCTGCTTACTGAAACCGCCACGTGCAGTCAAAGGTCCGACATTGCAGCTCCCACACACACAGCGGACCTGAGCGTATGCACAGGAAGATCCGCACGAGGGTTTAATATGAGGTCAAAATAACAAGTACTGATGTCCATGTGAGGACCCCATGTAGTTTTACAGGATATAGCCCAACATGCTGAATCATTAAGCCGTCAGGGTTTTGAGGTGTCCGTGGCATACATAAAAACGAAGCCACCAATCTCGGAACTGCATTCTGCAACACCTCTGGGTGCAAGACAAAATTCTCGCGGAGATCGAATAAGCAGAACTGGAGGACATCGATCTGTCCTGAATATGACAAATAGCACATGCACAATGGTGTGGAATGATGCACAGTGAAAGGAGATCCAACGGAAGACACTGGTATCCTACAATGCGAGATATCATGAAAGATCATGAGGTGACAAGTCGCAACCTTTGTATACAGCGTAACAATATGCAATAAACTCGAACATGCTGAACCCTAAACCCTGTATGAACCCTAATCCCCAACCCTAAACCCTAAACCCTGAATCCTAAACCCTAAACCCTAAACCCTGAATCCTAAACCCTAAACCCTGAACCCTAAACCGTGAACCCTGAACCCTAAACCCTGAAGCCTAAACCCTGAAGCCCAGTCCCCGCCCCAAAAAACTGCGTTCCATCCTTGATGCTCTCGTGCCTGACATCCAGCAAGGCATCGAGGAGTCCTGGAAGCTTAGGGTTTAGGGTTTAGGGCTTAGGGTTTCGCGTTTAGGGCTTAGGGTTTAGAGTTTAAGGGTGAGGAGTCCTGGAAGCAGAGATTCAGAGCTTTTTGGGGGTCAGGCTTCCCTTAACCTCAAGGACCTTAATAATTAGAATAGGGTTCCTTTTAAAGGTTCGTTTAAGGGTGCTATAAGGGATTTAGGGGTAGTAGGGCAGTTTAAGATTCGGGGCTTGGGGTTAAGGCCAGTTTAGGCTACTCCGAAAGCCAAATGCACCTTAATCCACAAGGAAATGACTTATGAAAATGAGGGGGAGTCCAGCAAATATAGTGGTCGGGGAAGTCTTACTCTAACGATGTCAGGAGTACTCCTTACCTTCAGGGTTCGTTGGATTGCTATGAGTTGGTTTCTCCGACTTCAGGTGTTTAACTGCCGTTGTGAAGATTTCGGGGCCGGAAAGCTTTTGGGTATTTGCCTTCTTCCGGGCTCTTCCATGGAACCATAAAAGTTTAGGGTTTAGGGCTTTGGAGTTTAAGGGTTCAGGGTTTAGGGGTGGCTTTAGGATTTAGGGCCCTACTGGACCTCAAGGTTCGATCTTGAATTCCGAACCTGACTTACAGCTTCGGCATGTTATGCGTGGGTAGGGCTTGATAATCAATAAAGCAAAAGACAGGTATGCGTGAAGACCGCAAAGTGTTGGTGGGGCTCCGGCCATGGTTCATAGAGTTCAAACGTTTCGCGTGCAGGTTTAAGGGTCCGTGCACAACCCTGCCTGAAGGGCTGAGGGTCTGGAGGTAATGATTTGGGTTGGGTCAATGACAGCACTGGCACTCCAACAATCTGCGGGGCAAGACGTGGCAAATCAGGAAGACGAAGCAAGATGAAAGACAGGCAAATGCCGTGACGGAAAGGTGATAACAGAAGTATCGTCGTCTGACCTAGATAGATCAGGCTTATTGAGACTGCCCATCCACATAGCATGTCTAATGTGAATCTCTACTCTCGTCTCCACCCCATCCCTCTCTCATTATCAAAGCTGTCCTCCTCATCATATGCGTACCCAGTAGACTACTGTGTAACCTGCAATACTCACTACCTTCATCATCGTCACCACCACCATCATCATCATCAAGCCCATCATCACCAGCACAATCATCACAATCACCGTCATCATGAACACCATCCAAAGCCGTCCTCATCCCCGTTTGAAAAAATGTAGGTCATCAGAATCGTAGTCACCGTCATGTCGCCAGTGTTCAACGCAAGCTATTAACTCGCAACCCCATAGTGGCCTGATGCGAGCTCCAACGGGCTCGTAAACAGCAAATCATCACACGCCCCACATGGGAAGCTTACACCTGCGAGGGCTTTGGGTTTAAGGGACGGAGCAGCCAGCGTTTAGGTCCAGGCTTCAGATCTTCTACATTCTGGTATTGGGGCCCCAAAAACTCCAGGAGAATTCTTTGAGGAAGAGTCTTCATGATCCTTCACTGAGACCCGAGACCTCTTACACCTCCGTAAGTTGGGGGAAGCCGGCGGGCTGTCAAACTTGCAGAGATTGCGGGTTAGGGATTTGGGGCCCCCTATGTCCCACAACCTCAAGCCGAGATCGGCCTATATTGTAGGTAGCGCCACAACAGGAACCCCAAGGAATAGCATTGGTAATTATGCAGACCTATGTTACATGACAAACCCTGAAGCGAAATATATGTGGGGGCCTGGATGATTGGTTGGGGTTTTGGACGCAATGATATTGATGATTTAATCATTCAGACTCACCAGTCAGGCCGGGTGTCGGATTAAGTATCCACGACTGCAGTAAAAAAATTGAAAGCATTGGGAACTTCTGCATCTCGTAGTCACTTGGTCATCGTTCAGCTTTCATGTTTCTGTGATTCGTCTTGCTCAAGCTGATCAACCTCTCAAAATATAACATTGAAAGCCTGCCACAATTCGTGCAAGAACAGTCTGCACGTGATGCCGCAACCATGAAAAACCTTGTAACCTCAACTTCCAATCACCAGCCGCGGCCACACACAGCTTAAACTCAAAATCCACAAAAATCTCAAACTGAAGAACTTCATGAAAACAAACTGCGAACTCTCTAAACCCCTATTAAATACTTATGGAACCCCATGCAACCCAGCAGAAAACCCGAAGAGACCCTTGTACCACCTTAACCCGCGAGCCCATCCACCCAAAGTTTCGATGAGCCCCAGCCTGGTGTATCCCAAACTCGCAGCCGGTTGCGTGGCGACACCTGGGTTTATAGGGTTTTATAGGGTTTAAGGTTTATAGGGTTTATAGGGTTTATAGGGTTTATAGGGTTTATAGGGTTTATAGGGTTTATAGGGTTTATAGGGCTTATATTGTTTATAGGGTTTTTAGGGTTTATAGGGTTTATAGGGTTTTGGGTTTAATAGGGTTTATGGTTTAGGGTTTATAGGGTTTAATAGGGTTTAGGGTTTAGGAATTAGGGTTTCAGGCTTGGGTGTAGTCCTCAAGTTTTGGTTTGCTGCAGGCGTGCGGACAGACTCCTGCATAGTAAGTACAATCCATCAGACGGGTCTAGGCGAGTATTGCCGTAGAAAGTTTAGGCTTTTAAATTTAGGGTTTAAGAGTTTGGAGCATAGGGTCCACGGTTTAGGGTTTCAGGGTTTGGGTGTTAAGAGCTTGGGCAGCTTCAGCAGCAACCCTGCCAGCCAAGGGCCGCGAAAGAACTCTGCGCAACTTTCCCAGCCTAAATCCTGAACGCTAGACCCTAAACCCTAAGCGCTAAACCTAAACCCTAAGCCCTCAAGAAAGTGATAAATAAGAAATGCCTTCTTTGTTTGTAACCACAGCTACGGTCTCAGCCCGGCCCAACACCCCGATCCCAAAATCAAAAAGAAGTTGCAAAGGAAACATTCACGATAATTGGCGTGTCTGTTTGGTCGGAAGCCTCGCAGACGGCCGACACAAGAGCCACCAAACCCGAGCTCTTTTTTGGTTCGGAAGCCACACAGACAGCCGACTCAAGAGCCACCAAACATAAGGACGTTTTTGCTCCAGAAGCCAGGCAGACAGCCGATTCAAGGATCGTTTAATCGGAAGCCAAGCAGACGGCCGATTCACAAGCCACCAAACTCAAGGACTTTTCTGTTCGGAAGCCACGCAGACAGCCGATTCAAAGGACACCGAACCCAAGGTTGTTTTGTCCAGAAGCCACACAGACGGCCGACTCAATGAACTCAAAATCTCAGACAGTGGGCAGTCAGGAAGCCTACACAATCAACGCAAGATGAAGAAGCATGAGTCCGATGAGACGCAGACACAGAATGCGGTAACATGACGTGGCCACATCAAGATTTCTGCCTACGTCTTTGGGCACCTACATGGAGGTACGTGAATAAATGAATAAACTTATGAGGCCCGCCACGCATGTACCAAAGCAGAGGTGAGTAAACACATGACCGGGCCATCACACACCAAAACGACTGAACAAGCAGTTGCGGCCTTCACGGACGCCTTCCTGAGCAGATCTTATATGCTGATGGTGGAGCCGGGGCCACCAGATGCAAGTGGGCCTTCCCGGGAAAACGCTGCTGCGAGAGAAAGGTGTTGTCCTTGCTGAAATCTCGGCCAGCACCCACGGAAAGCTTGTCAGGGCTTGGCCCGCTTCAGAATTCGAGCTGCGTCTCCAGAAGCCACGACCAAGACGCGATTTCTCGTCTGCACCGACCTCCTGGGCCAGAGGCTGCCGAAACAAAATCATCAGCAGCATGGTTCAGAGCCATTCTCTCTGCTTCTTCGCAAGACGGCGCCAGCTGCTGCAGAGAGCGGATTTCTCGGCTTGGCAGCCGTACCATGCCAGCAACAACAGAGCGTCCTGGGAAGTTTGGGGGCTGAAGGCAATAATTTTATGGGGTCTTGCAGAGATGTTCTAAAACCTGTCACTGTTCTGCAATCAACAAGCGCTAGAGTTCTGAGAAGAGTCGGAGTCAAACGCGCGTGAGCACCGCTTCGTGGGAGCCCAAGGCCATGCGTAAGTCGACAGCTGAGGAAGCCGCGCCACTTCTGTTAAATAGCACACACGCCCAGCTGGGCCAGGCAGATCAGCCTTGCCCCCAGCCCTCCAGGCAGGCGGCTTAGGGTTTAGGGTTTATACTTAAAGGACTTAGTAAGTAGGGTTATAAGTAGGTTAAAATTAGGATAAAACCCACTAATAACCTACTTACTAAGTCCCATGATCCTCTAAGTACCCCCAAAACTCTTGTAGAATCCCTATAGTAACCCTTATAGATCCCTTTAAGGAGCCCTTTAAGGAACCCTAGGCC